CTAGTATCTAAGTAACATTTTACGATGAATTCAAAGTGGTTGGAGTTCTGCAACTGCTGTAAAATTCCCTCAACAAAACCATCTCTCGAAAATTACATTTAAAAACAAAACTTAAACTTTAAAACAAACTGAAAATACATACATAAAAATAAAAACGAAATTTTGAATTTATCGATGTAAAATTAATTTCTGTGAAATATTAACATATAAATTATTTATTCTTACGTAAAATTTATATATATATATATGCACAAATACATTATTTATACATACTGTTATTACAGTACATAAATAATTTATTCTGAATTTTGATGAATGAATTGTTTATTTAAAAAAACAAAAATATTCGTAAATTTGGCTTTTATTTGATTGTTTATCGTTTAATTTATAATATGTATATAAATATTTATTTATTAATTGTAAATAATTATAAAATAAAAAATATAAAAAACGAAATAGATAAAAAGTCCAATACCGAAAAAAAACAAGTGTTGCTTGAAAAATATATCCTTTATATTTTTGTGACGAATGACAAAATAAATTAAAGCAAGAAGTTGGTATTTCAAATATAACTTCTTTTTTTACAATTGAAATGTGAATTTTGCGCAACAAAAAAAAATCAACTTGTTTTATTTACAATTTAAAATTTGCGAACAAAAACATTTACTTAAAATTTGAATTTACTCTGATAAAATCAACTGTTTTGACTTCGAATGTTAATTTTGTTTTGAATGGCATTTTATCGAAGAAAATTCAATTTAATTGAAATTAAATTATATATTTTAGATACAGTATATTTTTACTTTTTATTCATCCTACATTAAAAATGTATTTTTATCAAATAACTATTATTTTTTTACTCGAAAAACAAATTTATATCCGACATGATAAAAGTTTTTATTTACAAATTTAAACTTTTGTCTGGAAAAATATCTTTTTTTAGACAATCCATTTTTAATTTTATTATATACCCAACGATTTTTTAACTTCATAACGAACATTTTTTTTATATCAAATTACAATTTTTTATATTTTAAAGATAAATCGTGTCATGGAATAAAAATTTTTTTTTATAAACTTGAAACTGATGACAAAAATAATTTTTTATGAAATCAAAGCTGTATATAAAATTAAGTTAAAAAAAAAGAAATTTTGTTTCTTTTTCTAAAAAAAAATTACGAAAAACTTACCTTAGCTTATGTTCTGTCTGTGGTGATTCTCCCGTTCCCTTGAAATCATTTCCGGTCTGAAACAATAGAAAATTAAATTTAACATTGCTTTGTTTTTTATAAAAAAAAAAATTTTTTTTTTTTTGGAGAGAAATTTTTTTTTAATTCTTTCATTTTCTACCAAATGGACTGTTTGATGTTAACGGAAAAACAAAAACAAAAAAAAAAATTCGTCAAATAACGTTCTATTTTGAAATGACTTTTCCGTAACATTCATATAGTATATAACGTCACAATATATCATGATTACAATTGTCAATTTTTTTTTTCCTAGAATTTCATACTTTTTTGATGTTGGTGAATAATAGGATATCTGATAGTAAGTGTATAACATATTTCTTAATAAAAAAAAAGGAAAAAATTTTCTCGAAAAGCTATTTTAAACATTTATATGCAAAAAAAATTTATTTGATTTAAATTATCGGTTACTTGATATCAAATAAATATTGATTTGTATTAAATTAAATTATTAATAATTAATATAAATTTAATTGTATTAATTATTAAATAATTATTTGAGTCAATTAAATGCTATCTGATTTAAATACATTAATTATGTATTTAATTACAATTAAAAATAAAAATATATTAGTTCAAATAAATATTTATTTGATAATATTGAAGTTCTATTTAAATCAAATAATTTATTTACTTAAAATATTTCACTGAACTAATTAAAAGAAGTACTAATTAAAAGATAAAAGTAATTTTTGTATAATTGGAAATTAATTTAAAGGAATTTACTCTCTTGCACCATTTACCACAATTTCCTATTGTTATATAATATTGCGTATTGCTGATAATGTTAATCATTCATTGTAATTATATATATGAAGTCGATATTAATATTGATGTTCAATTGTTAAATATGTCTATTGTTTTGCAATAATTATACACATATTTAGAAAATATATTTCAAAGTATAAAAAATGAAAAATTTTTTTAATCTAATTAATTTTAACTATTGTTAATATTAATTAAAGTAGATTTTTTTCTGTATATTAATTTTATCATACCTCTTTAATAATTTCTATTGTATTTTCATCATCTTCACTATCCATAATGAATAATTCTCTCTTGTGTGTTCACTTCATTAACTATTTTATTAATCATTATTAATCACAGGCTATTTCACGATTCATTTTTAATATCTATCATATAATGTGAGGTAATGAAAAATATATATACAATATTTCGAACAAATAGAATTGAGAAAAATATATAAATTGCCATTAAATAGAAAACTCTTCCGAAAAATGGAACAAAATGAAAAATTCATTGAAGCTCTCATCGATTTATCAACTTTATGACTTGAACATTGAATGCAGTGCAAGTATTGGAAAGTGTTTGAAAAGTAAAGTTCATTTTACTTAATGGTTGTTAGGATTTTTATTGTCAACAAACAGTGAGAGCCATAAAGTTTCAGACTTTTTTTTTTTTTTTTTCTTATTTTTTGCTTCGTTGATAAGAATACTTTAAACTTTTTCATATCTTTTCACCTATCATTCTTTGGAGAAAGAGTTTGTTTTTTTTTTTTTGAAAAAACTCATCGCGAAAAGAGTTTCTCGTATTGTTGCAGTATAGATATAAAATCAACAATGTTCTATCAAGGAAAAACATACGACAAATGGCATTGAATTCCGGGATATTACGTGACGTTATTCGCACTTGGTGCTTAAAGTGTGTTCACAACCCTTTTCGCGCGATCACACACGCGCCCACGCTTCGATAAGCAGTTAAATCAACGACACGAGTTGCAGTGAACGAACTAAGTGGCCTGGTAACTGTTTTCCTGGACTTTCACTCGATTGAACTGGCGCGTGCCAAGCTCTCTTAGAGTTGTGTTTCTTGCTTTCGACGAGAGTGCCTCTCTTTTTCTCTCTCTTACTTTTGCGAAAAGAGAGTTCTCTCTATTGCAAAAGAAGCGTGGGCGGAGAAAGATACAGTCGATGAAGAAACACGAGGAGAAGAAGAAGGAGAAAATATACGAGAACATTGGGAGGGGGTGGAGGAAAAGGAAAAGCAAACTAAAAAGAACCAGACGGGCAGAAATAAACTTGGTCCACACTTCTCAGTTCCGATAGCATATATACACATGGTCTATTTCTATATCATGGGAATATATATATTCCCGAGTGATGCATTTTCAATTTATTGAGCATTTGGTAGAAAATTTTTGCAAATTTTTTTTTTCTAGAACAAATATTTATATAATTGCAAATTTTCGTTATCTAAACTGGAAAAAATTTCTTGGTAATAATTAAAATTTCTTCAAATGTTGAGAGAAAAATTTACATTAGAAATTGGAATTTTTTGAATCGGTGCGAAAAAGCCTAAAAATTGATAAAATAAAAAAAAAATCTTGGATCAAAATTATAAATAGGAATAATTAAATTTGCATTTAAAATTAAATTCTATTAAAGATCTTTTGAAATTGAATTAAGAAGGGTCATTCTATTGAAAATTGTATCAGAGTAGCAAAAGACTGTTTTGTGTAGTGCACTTTAATTAATGCTTTTATAAAGAGAATTTCTTGTTCTCTTCAATTTTGTTAAAAGTTGTATAAAAACAAAAGGAAAAAGATTCTCTGTAGTTTCTACCACATTAAGAAAAAAAATAATTTATATTAAAGAAATATTAATTATTAATATTAATGTAAATTCGAACAATTAATTATTCTAACTAGAATTAATTTAAAAATTCGGCTGAAAATAAATTCTAGAGAAGTCGATTACATAATTCCGTTTTCACTTTCACTAATTCTGATTTTCACTCTCACTGATTCTAATTTTTACCCTCACTTTTATTTTCACGACCATTTCCACTGATTCTTATTTTCAGTCGCAATTTCACTTTCACTTTCACTAATTTCTAATCAGTGAAAGTGAAAATAAAAATACGAGTAAATATTGGAATCAGTGAAAGTGAAAGTGAAAATAAAAATATGAGTAAATATTGGAATCAGTGAAAGTTAAGCGAAAATATAAGTGAAAATTTGGATAATTGGAAATGGAAATACGAAAATAAAAATTGTAAAAATTTAAATTTAAATTTAATTTACTTTAAATAAAAAAAAAATAATTTATATTAAAGAAATATTTAAATTTAGAAATTTTAATTTCTATATTTCTATATAATAAAATATCTAATTTAGATAAAACTATATTTATATAGATTAACGTTTATGTTTACATTCAAGTAACAAGAAAATCATAACTATACAAAATCCCAAAGATAATTTTATGCAAATCGCGTCTCGATCTGTTTAGCCACGTGGTCATTGTTCTCGTAAAAGAAATTTAGTAATTAAAGTAAAATAGTTCGGAGTAATTTTTTTATTACGCGATCAAAAAATTTTTGGAAGTGTTTAATTTTTGTCTTATTTATAATTTGTTATTCCATAATACGATTTCGATAAACTAACTAGTTTTTTTCTACAAGTTAAAAATCTTAAAGTAAATTTATAAATTTATAATATACATTATAATATAAAATATATTATAAATCAAAATTAAAAATTATATTTTCCAAGTATTTTGTGTGGGAAGCAATTTTGTAATTATTTTTATACCTGCGTCCCAAGTCGTATAAGGTACCTTCTAGCCGAAGGTCGTCATAACAATTAAAAATCCCAAATATAATCAAATCATTTGCAATTCGTGTCTTGACCTGTTTGGTCGTATTAGTCTAAACTGTGTAATTTCAAAAACAAAATTTATATTTTTTCTCTAATACTTTATCGTCTTATTTTTTATTTCCAGATGAACAGCTTCGGGAGTGCTCAATTTTTTTTTTTTTTAATTTTACTAATTATTTTTTTCTTTCCGGGAGTGTTCGAAATTCTTAAAACCGCGATCGCTTAAATATTAAAAATGTATTTTTATCTTATTATTTTAAAATTCGGGAGTGTTTGCGAAAATTTTTAAATCGTTTTTCCAGCATATCATCTCATCTGAATTATCTTCAAATCTTCTCATCATACATCGGATGCAGACTAAGGTAAGGGAGATATTTTTTATAAACATGTAATTATTATTAATTTAAAAAAAAGAAATGATAAAGTTTTGTCAAAAATTTCTGATAACATTTAAATTGTGAAATTCTCATTGAGATATATATATTTGCAAACAAAATATCTGGATATAGTTTTGTCGAAAAAGAAAATGCTTTGCTAAATCCGTTGAGTCTCGTTGCAAGTAAATGCAAGAGCTATACAGATGGAGAACAAAGCGAAATCCCTTCTATTCTGTATATATATACACATACATATAGTGAATCTCAACTGTAGACAACGGTTTAGGTTTCCCAGAGACTCAACCTAATCATCCGGAAGTGTCGCGTTGTCCAGTGCTAATTCCATCTCCCCATTCACGATAATTGTGTGGCCACGTTGACGATTTACGCATGATACGGTTCGAGTGTAGGATTGTATTGGCAATTTGTGTTGGTTAACCCACAAGTACCCTTGTACTTAACACCTGAACATTGAAGAGAACTTGTATAAATACAACTGTTGTAAAAAGTTCCAAAAAAAAATTCCAAACATCTATTTTTTGTTTATCAAAATTAATTTCCTTTGAAATTATTTTCAATTTATTTATTTATTAGTAAATAATTATTTATCTCGAAGATAAATATTATATTTGTACCAACTAAAATATTTCAAAAACTAAAATCGAAGACTAAATTCTTTATAAAAAAAATTTCACTCAAGAGAGAGAGGAAAAAATCTGTTGACAATTATTATATTGGAAAGAGAAAACTTGGAACAAAATAAATAAAAAAAAAAAAAAAAATGCGAAAACAAAAGAGTGAGAAAGAGAGGAAAAATATTTTTTGAAGTCAAGAACACGAGGCTGCAAGAGCTACTCTCTAATTAGCTGAATATACGGGAGCCTTTTTGTTTAATTAACATGCTTTGCAGTAAACTATACGTGTTTATACGTTGTTCTCGAGTTTTCATCAGACCTTCTTTCTTTCATTCTATAAACTTGATAAGTATCCGTTTTTTTTTTTTCGAAAATTTATTCTTTTAATGGGTTTTCCATTTCAAAAATGTCCTGTTACCGTCACAGTCGACAAGGATTTTCCCCTCACAAACACCCCCTCCCTCTCACGTAAATTCCGAATATTTAATTAGGTTGATGAAACATTCCTCATAAAATAATATATTTCCTGCGGTATATTTTAAGTCGCAATTATTAATTAAATTTCATTACAAGCGAATATTACCGAGCATCGATGTTGATGTTTTAAAGTTTATATTTTATAAATAAAAAAATTTTTGAATTTGTCTAATTTTTTCAAAATTAAAAACGTAACAATAGTAGAAAATACTTTTAATTCTTGAACAAACTATTATCACCGGTCGTTCAATATAAAAATTGTTACAAGATCTATTTTATTAAAGTAATACCGATTTTTGAATTGATAACTTTTTTTAGGATGACAAATTTAGTTTTCATTAATTTTATTTAAATGTTTGAAATTTTGTCATCGACGTAGAAAATGTTTCTCTTGATTATATTGCTGCTTCCTGCTGTCATGTCAGCTAGTTCAGTTTTACCCGTTTTTCGTCGAGACGAATTGGAGAACGACTCCATGGCAGCGGAAGATGGCTTAAGTTGACTAAGGTACTTGTTTGGTGAAGAGGAAGAGGAGTCACGGCTTGGCTATAAATACCCTGCGCCACCTGCACCTAACGTCCACCAACGAACTAAACTAGCGTCGTGCCACATTCGAGGAATGAAGCTCGAGAACAATGCTCCAACGTTACTATCTCTCTTTCTCTCTCCCTCCCCCTCTCTCTCGCTCTCTAGAAAATCACACGCGTGTTTGAATTCCTTCATGCGTATAAAATTCCTCTCTTCGAATTTAACGAGAGAATTCCGTCAATTTTTTCGTGGAAACATAAATTTAAATAATGTTTAATAATAATTTTTATTTAGATATATTTTATAACTGAAATTTTCTTTTCGAGGAAAAAAAAAGATTTACCTGAAACAGTGAAAGTTTTTCATAAAATAGAAAATAAGAGAAATAGAAAGAAAATTTATTCACAAAAAGGGAAAACACATTTGTTTTTTGAAAACTGAAATCTTTGAAAATTCTATTCAAGAAAAAAAAACGCATGAATGTAAAATTAATTTGTTAGAATTTTTAATTGACTAATGTTCATTGCCTACAATTTATTTTTAGCCGAATTTTTATTTCTTCGAATTATTATGTTACAGAAATTTCATGTAACCGATTTTCTGTATCACTGTAAAAAAATGGAGTTGAATTTTAACTCCCTAGGGGATGCTATAAAAGTTCCATCCTTTTGGAGTTGAAGCGAAGGGAGTTAATTTTATGCCTAGGGAGTTGGTTTTAAGGAGTTAATTTAATTATTAACTTCCTTTTTGAGTTGATTTTTAACTCGAAAATTTTAACCTCCCAACTCCCAGTAACGTTAACTCCCTAATTTTTTTACAGTGTATTAGAGAATTGTTTTTTAAACGAATTTTCAGTTTTCAGACTAATTTGAATTTGGATTTGGATATTTCATCGAATTTGAATTACACAGAATTATTATTTAGTCGAATTTTCATTGAACAAAAATCATTTAAAATGTGTTTTATTTTACAAACTGAATATTGGGAAGAATTTTTATTAAAAAATTTGCATTTTACAGAATTTTTAAAACGCCGAATTTCTATATGCCCGAAATTATAAATGTCCGAAAAACAATCGAAAAAGAAACTCCGTGTGAATTTTAAAATTAACTAATTATAATTTCGTTGTCAACTTCTGATTGTTTAGGTTTTAAATTCATGCCGAAATAATTCTGTCGATTTGTTTGTCGGCCATTTGAAATTTCGGACAAATGAAAATTCGTCTTTTTTAAGAATTCTGTAAAATGTAAATTCGAACAATTAATTATTCTGACGAGAATTAATTTAAAAATTCGGCTGAAAATAAATTCTAGGGAGTCGATTACATAATTCCATTTTCACTTTCACTAATTCTGATTTTCACTCTCACTGATTCTAATTTTTACCCTCACTTTTATTTTCACGACCATTTCCTCTGATTCTTATTTTCAGTCGCAATTTCATTTTCACTTTCACTAATTTCTAATCAGTGAAAGTGAAAATAAAAATACGACTAAATATTGGAATCAGTGAAAGTGAAAATAAAAATATGAGTTAATATTGGAATCAGTGAAAGTTGAAGCGGAAATATAAGTGAAAATTTGGATAATTGGAAATGGAAATACGAAAATAAAAATTGTAAAAATTTAAATTTAAATTTAATTTACTTTAAATTTAAATAAAAATAAAAATAAAAATGAAAGTGAAAATTATAAATAGTGGAAGTGAGAATTCGAATTATAGTGGAAAGTGAAAATCGATCCCAGGAAAAGTTGTAATTGTTTCAGTTGAATCATTCTCTATTCCAGTGAAATCTTTCGCTGTTTCAGATAAATTTATTTTTTTCCATGTTCTTATCTTAATGATCTCGAGAATTTTTTTTTTGAATGTCACCTTAGAATATTCCCCCCCCCCAAGAAAAAACTTCTATACTATAGTATAAATAATATAAAAGAAGTATGGTGCCACTCTTGAATTTGATCACGCTCGTATTTCCCCGAAGTGAAAGGTTTTACGAAAGTGAATATCGAGGTTTGATCCTTGCCGATACTAAAGAACCAAAAGAAGAGGGCAGAAAAAGGAAGAGGAAAAAAAAAGGAGAAGAAGAATCAGAGTAAAAGAGCACTATATGAGGAAAAATGCTTTAGGGCAGATAGTCGAACGTCGTCGTTGTGTCGGAAGTGGCAACGATTTTTCTTCGATGTGTCCCCTTGTATGGAAAACGGGGGAGTTTCTTTTTTGGATTTCACCTCTCTCTAAAAGCCATTAAAGTGTAATGATCGATGACTTGCGATAATGGTATATACCCCATATATATATGGGCATCACTATAAAGTGAATGGTCGATACATGCTTATATGAGATATATACGCATCTGTAGGCATTGAAGAGGAGGGGTTGTAAGGGGAGAAGGTACAAGAGAGGGTGCTCATAATCAACTTTTGACACAATACATCTATTCAAGCTTTGGTTGGTAGCTGCTGTATGCTCCATATATTCGAGAATCACTGAATTGAAGATAGCCAGAGCCTGCCGGATGACATGACATGAACTGCGTAATGATGAGACGTGCCAATTGATGTTGTCCTATTGACCAGCTTGAACCTGCTGTTAAACTTTGATAAAGCAAATTCTCCTGGTGCCTGGTTAACTGGACACATAAATGATCTGCATTCATCAACATGATGAGAAATGAACTTAATTATAGAGAGCTAAGCATCAGCTAATTATTTTGCCAACACTTTACACAAAAAAAAGAATGAGATTGGAAATCGTGGAATTTCACTTTAATGGAATCAATTTTTACTTTAATTCATAAAGACCAAATCATTTAATTGAATTATTATTTGATAGAATTTTTATTTAATGAAAATTTTGATTTGCATTTGAAAAATTTTTTTTTTTTACTTACACATTTTGAAATATTTTTATTTTAAAATAAAAGTAAAAAAGCAAATTTAGTTTCAACAATTTAGTGGCCTTATTAAGCGCAAACAATGGAAATTTCGTATACGATCAATTTGAAATGGATTTCGTGTACATTGTTTCAGAGTAAATAATATGTTATTTGTATTCGGTTGTTGTTTTCGTATTTGTTTTATTGTGTAACAAGTCATAGATAACAGAATGAGCTTTAGCACACATCACGTGTGTATATCAGGCACAATAAACGGTTTATTGTACTCCGTTCATTCTAGTTGTCTATGAGATAAATTCACATATCTAGTATACTACTGTAACATTTGTCAATTATACGTTATAAACTCATTACTTCCCACGAATCATATATAAAGGGGTAATCAAGTTTATCTATATTTGTCAATTAGATTTTTATATTATATTTTCAATTTCAATCAATTTTAATCA